GATTTCTTACCGTTCTTACCATGCATTAAACAAAAATTCGCATGAATTGTGAAAACCCAAACATTCAACAACTGTTGACGGAAAATAAAAAAACGACGCTTCTGCGACATTTGTAACTGAACAGAAAACTTACAAAAAATGACGTCATTAGGTTAACATACTGCTTAATTCGCAAAGGAAAAACTCCTTTTTTTAATAACCTATAGGTCCTCGCCGTAGAAAATTTACTTATTTATAATTCGTTACTAATTTAAGCAATCCTTTGCAAAAAACCTCAGGTTTAAAGTTCAATCTCTTCCAATCGCTACCGTTTGAACACGATGCAACGAACGCATGTGCGTCCTAAGACGGAAATTCGTTTTGGAAAATTTCATAGTGCCCTAGGAAGGCAGATTTATATATTTATATTTTATATACACTGTGGGTAGGCATTCAGCAAAAGTAGTTTTGTTTGGTTTTGTCAGTTCACCTTTTTCAGCCCCCCGGTTTCCCCCTAAGGTCATGCGTATTTGATATCTTTTTATTTTTCCATTTTGATTTATGAAATGAGGTAGTTTTCTAAGAATTGTGATTAAAAACTGTTTCAGCATAACGTTGCATCCAAACACCCATGACGCCGGCGCGAAATGGCGGGAACCGGAAATCGTGGCTAGATACAAAGAAAAAGAATATTTCTTATAAATGAATTATACAACTAAATAACGCATTTTTTATGTTCTTTTAGACAAAATTATGAAAAAATTACAAAGGCTCGTCGTTAATGATAAACAGAGCAAGTTTTAACAGCACGTTTTTGTTGAATTATGGCGGCGAAATCTTTATGCCATTCGAAAAGGTACGCGCGACAAACGGCTGATAGCCATGCAGCGAAAAATTGAAGCGGGGAAGTTTTTTGTATTGACTTGTCAAAAAATCTCGCCGTCATGGGGGTTATTTCCGCCGTAACGGGTCATCTGAAGGTGGGAATGTCCCAAATAGAATCAAAATATTGATTCTATGCCCATATATGGTCAAAGCTCCGCCCACTAGAATCAATATTTTGATGCCTCCATATTTTGATTCCCGCCGCCTAGTTTGCCCAACTGGTTTTTGTTTGATTAAAATGTCATCTTGGGGGAGTTTTACTGCCATTAGAAAAGTTGCTGGCTGGGAGTATTTTTTCCTAACCTACGTTTACTTGGGTCTTATATGATTTTTAAGATGGGTAGGTAGGTACCATCTAAATTATGTGATATTCTATATTTCAGCTGGTCTGAGCAGAATAACTCCAGACATGGCAGACGCTGAGAAAGTTGACCTTAACAGCTTGGTGAAGGTTCGAGAAGCACTCTACCGGCTTATCATCAGGTTGGTGTGCTGCTTGTATTGTAACAGTGAGCTTCAAAATCAACATTCTGAAGCCCTCTACTACAGTATACCTCGTCAAGTCACTTTGTTTAGCTGTTATTTATTAGTTAATATGCTCTAATAAGGTTTTCCGGACATGAACTGTTTTAGTGCGCACTAACATAATTATTTGCATTGTCCCTTGCCACTTACCAAAGCATTTCCTTAGTTAGGTTATAGATGCAAACAAGTCAGTACTGCTGACTAGTTTTTGAAGAAATTTTTCCCAGTCCATCAATGACTCAGCAAAAATATTGTCACATTCTGTACAACAGGAAACGATTTAATTGAAGTTGTGATTTAGTGCTTTAAATTGTGCTGTAAGTTAAAAAAGTTGTGCCCCAAATTGGCTTCCAGGTGCTGTGGCTACACTGCTGACATGTTCCTTTGACCTGCAGCCAGCTATACTATGATGGTCAGCAGACGCTGGCCTCCAGTATGCACCAGACCATCAAGCCAGACCCCGCCTGCCCGCCATCAGACAGGCTGTTCCGGCTGGTGCTGCTCGGACTGCAGAAGGAAAAGGGTGAGTTCTGTGTAAGGCTTCAACAGCTTAAACTGCTGACAAATTCAAAACCTGGCTGGAACTTGAACTAGACCATGCAGGATTGCTTTGAAGAAATGTTTTTATCGTCAATATGAGATTTACACATGTGTGACATACTGCCCGACATGCCCGATCGATTTGGCAGAGGCCAGTGAGGACCGGGTGAAGACGGAGGACACGTTCACATCGGGCCTGGACCTGGAGTTTGAGTCGGACATGCCGACGGTGGCACCGGAGCCGGCCGCCTACGAGACGTGCTACGTGACCTCGCACAAGGGCGCCTGCCGCTCCGGCTGCTTCTCGCCAGACGGACAGCTGATCGCCACCGGCAGCGTCGATGCCAGCATCAAGGTAGGAGGAGACGATACCGCGTGGATGTCGGTATCAAGGTAGGCCAGCGTCGACATGGATGTCGAAATCGAAGTACGGCTGCGTGGAAAAAAATGCAACTTCAGCGCTTCCGATTATTAGACTCCAATTCACTATAAAAAAACATGGAGAAATATATGCTTCGAATTAGAATTAGACGTTCGCCGACAGCCCTTTCCGTGTGCACCGCTTCCGAACAGGAGACAACCATTTTTAGGCACCGAAGCAAAGCAGCTCCCGTCTACAATAGCCATTCCCCAGACCCTGTAGCAGCTGCCTTGCTCGGTCGCTCTTCGCGTCCACAGATGATCGACTTAGTGTCCAGATCTCCGTCGCTTTCCTCGCAGATATCATCGACATATCACTTTCACCCCAGCAGCTATTCCGTTTTCCGAATATCACCGAATTCGACCTGAAGTTATCCAAATTTAACGTCCTACTCGCCCTCTCCTGAGGTTGTTGACGTGTTGTCGATCTCGGCCCTTGTTCTCTTTGTTCGCAGATTATCGACGTGGACCGCATGTTGGCCAAGAAGCCGCACGAGCCGGACATGATAGACGCCTCGTCCGGCCACCACCCGGTCATCAAGACGCTCTACGACCACGTGGACGAGGTGACGTGGCTCGAGTTCCACCCGCGGCTGCCGCTGCTAGCATCCGGTTCGCGCGACACCAACATCAAAATCTTCGAGTACAGCAAGTCGTCGGTGAAGAAGGCGACGACCGTCATCTCGGTGGGTGTTGAGGGTTGGGGAGAAGAGGGGCGGATATGGGGAATGGAAATGGGAGAGGATGTACAGTTAGAGCATTCCTTTGGATTGATGAACGAGGGCATAGTGCTTCTGAGGCTTCTGCAGTTACTCTGTCGGTCGTTGTTGACATTTCCATTGGCCTGTCCACATGACATCTGACAGCTGCTGACGCCATGACTCTGACCCCCCCCCCCCCCGTCCAACTCCAACTGCTGACCCTCCCCACCGGTCGTCCCAAAGACACTTCCAATACCGGCGGTACCATGACTTACCGAGCCCCCCGGGGGCGGCCAGGACGCCATCCCGGTGCGCTGTTTCAGCTTCCACCCGAGCGGCGACTACATGGCTGTGGGCACGGATCACACGGCCGTGCGGGTATACGACATCGCCACGGCACAGTGCTACGTCAACCCGTTCAACAAGGAGCACCACACCAACCGCGTCACATCCACGCAGTGAGACTCGGGAGAGAGGATGGGATGGAAGGGCGGACGGGGAGAGGAGGGATGGCTGGCCGATGTCAGCTTGTCCCTCGGTGATGGGTTTTTGAGGAGGGAGAATGGAATGGTCGAATTGATGTATAATCGTTTTTATGGCTTTCAATTTTTTACTAAATTTTGCATGGTAGGAAAACAAGTATGCTATGCCTCATCGCGTGTCTTATCGGGCAAGTTGAACATTCATCTAGTTATTTGAATAAATTTGAACACAATGAACTTGGTAAGATCACGACCCATTCAGCCAGCGTCTCCCCACTTCGTCCCCTGTCCGGTAGTCACACGACTGACCCGACTCTCCGTCCCGCCCTGACAGGTGGTCACCGGACGCCCGCGTCTACGTCACCGGCTCCAACGACGGCAGCATCAAGCTGTGGGACGGCGTGTCGAGCCGCTGCGTCAACACCTTCCCGAAGGCGCACGACGGCGCCGGCATCTCCTCGGTGGTGTTCTCCAAGAACGGCAAGTACGTGCTCTCGTCGGGCAAGGACTCGATGGTGAAGCTGTGGGAGCTGTCTACCAGCCGCTGCCTGATCGCCTACACCGGTGCCGGCATCATCGGGAAGCAGCAGCACCGCAGTCGGGCCATCTTCAACCACACCGAGGACTTTGTGATGCTGCCTGACGAGGCCACCAAGAGTCTGTGCTCGTGGGACGCGCGCAACGCCTCTCGGAAGCAGCTGATGTCGCTGTGTCACAACTCGCCGGTCCGGCACATCATCCACTCGCCGGTGACGTCGGCGTTCATGAGCTGCTCGGACGACTTCCGGGCGAGGTTCTGGGTGCGGCGCGCCGCCACACATTGAGAGAGGGATGGGAGACGGGCGGTGGATGAGACTGAAAAGCGACGACCGAATCAGATGGGCTATGGTTCTAAAGACGGCAGGGCAGTTTGGCCGAAATGGTTAGTCCAAACGATGATTCCCACGGATGCCACCCCACCTTAGTTGCTGAATGGTCCCAGGATTCATAGCTCATACTAAGTGAATGTGCATACCATCGAAGCTCGCGCGGCTGTCGGCGAGCGTCCCGTTCCGCACAGGTCTGGTCTCAAACGCCTAGTGTCTGTTCCTAGACTCCTGAGCATAGCGACGGTCACCTGTCGCCTGTGAGTCTTAGTTGTCTTATCGCTTTTAGTTCAGCGAACCAAATGAAATATGCGGCTCGAACTAAGATACCCAGGGTGGCGATGAACAATGCCAAAAGTTTGGGAAGCTGCAGGGACAATTATTCGACACACCCTGCCATTTACAGACTGCCCGAATGCAGCCTGCCCATGTGTGCAGTGTGACCGAGCGGCTGCCTCTATCCACCGCGTTTGTGTAGATACTGGGTCCAGTCTGATTGGGGATGTGTATACGCAGCGATACTTGCTGTACGCTGTTTGATTCATATTTGCCGCGAGTGAGGCTGCGTGAGGTTTGATGCCGTTCATCATTCAAACACCATGTTCATCATCAATACACAGCTTCATTTGTCGATCGATCACCTTTGCGTGCGAAAAAAGATAAATATCTTCGTGACACTGCATCACACAACAAGATAAAAATGCACGTAAACAGCACGACGTCGTCCCGGTACCCCTGCTCGCATACTCTGGTCCGGGCTTTTGGGCGTTGCGATGGAGAACCATCCGCCTGTGAAAAGGTTGGTTAGGACGCAGCTGGTGCCTGTCAATGTGCGATATAACTCACGTGACACCACGCGCTGGGCCCTGAATCTCCGCTCTACACAGCAGATACACCGGTCAACCAAGTCGATCACACTCGGGTGCTGGCCTTTCTCTTGAGCACGCCCGGCTCTCCGCCACAGCCACCGGACGGGGACCCGCCTCCCGCCCCGGCACTCTGCCAACACAGCCAACAGACGCCGCGCGCGCTGCGCCTAGAACATGCCGCCCCTCTGCTTCCGGTCGGCGCCGCGCCGGTGCTGGGTAGACTTCTGTTCGTTTTTTCCGCCGCCGGTTTTGCAGAACCTGTTTGTCCTGGCCCTGGCCGCGCGGTGCGCCTGGAAGGAAAGAACGAGGTCAGCCGAGGGTCAGACAACAGGAGCGAAACAAACGAACCGTGGATAGTCAGACGACAGTGTACGGCCACTTACGGCAGGACGGGAGCTCGGCTAAACGGACAGCTGGATATGCAATAGACTGATGTGTGCACATGTGCATCTTGGCCATAATAACGACCCGGTTATCAACAGCGAAACACAATGCACCCCAGATAAGTCTCCGAATCACGGCACACATTCTGGACCGTCGTCTCACTCACCGACGACGTCCCTGTTAAGCGGCGGGCCGTGGTGGCCGCCGCGGCCCCGTCCGCGGCGCCGCTGCTGCTGCTCCTGTCGGCGGGCCTCCTGCCGGGCGCGAACCTCGGCCGGATCCTGGACAAAGTGGTCGCGCCGCGGCCCGGCCGTCTCCTGGTCCTCCTCCGCGGCCGGGTCGGGCCGCCGCCACCGGGAGCTGGGCAGCGGCTGGTTCAGGGGCACCGGCCCGCTGCGGGAGGGGAGGGGTGTGTCAGAGAGTGACAGTCTGTACGGTATACCTGGCTAGAAACGGTGCCATGATTGTGTCTAGATCTCCCCCAGTCTACGTCTACATCTAATATCTACAGTCTACTTGTAGACACTGTCCTGTCCCAGTGATTGGGTAGGACGAGGAGGGCCGTTCGTGCAGGGTTCTAGAAGGCTGCGGAGAGTTGCAGACTCCAGGGTCCTTTCCGAACGATTTTCCACTCTCAATATCGTTTGATACATCACGGTGAAACAATGCCTAATTTGTAACCTCCACTACTCCTCCCTAGCCTATATCCTCCCCTCCTCTACGTTCCTCTCCTCACCTGTCCTCCTCGGCCTCCTCCTTGGGTTCCTCCTGACCCGTGGTGACGTCATCATACGTGTCGTCATACTCGTCCTCATAGTGTATCGCCTCGTACACGCTACCGTCCGTGGTTAGCGATCCAAACAGCTGGTACCGCTCACGCTGGCCGGCTTCGCGCAGGGACGATTTGTCCGCCAGCTCGCGCGCCAGCCGCGCCTCAGTCATACTGGGGAATGGAGCGGACCAGGGAGATTATCGGCACTGTCTGAAGGGGCGGTAGTCCGTTTGTTGAACGTTATTTGTTCGTTAGGATCAATGAATGACGTAAGAAAAAGTGGATGTCTTATCCATGAGTCTAAGATTATGAGTTCATTAGTACTAAAAAGATGAGAGCCTGCTAAAACGGCTATGAAATATCAAACTGAGAATTGTGCAAACAATACCCTCTCAGCCATCCAATCCAAAACCCATGGAGATCCCAAGCAGTCCCAAGTATCAGCGACCCTAACGTACCGTTTGCCCTTGTGGAATCGACTCAGGTCGACATCATTGCGACTCATCACATCGAACTCGTCTCCGTCGAACACGTTCCGTCGCGTCGAGAGGACGCTCGACGGGGCGGGGGTGGGGGCCGGTTCGGGCGGCGGGGGGAGTGCCGCCTCCGCCGTTCGGTCGAGCGATGCCAGTGACGGGGGTAGTGAGTCCTCCAGCAGCGCGTTGATGACCCGCTCCGAGCTGAAGTTGTAGTGCTCCAGACAGGCCTGGAAGGCGACGGGTGGGTGGTTAGTGAAGTTAGAACTGCGCGTCGTGTTGTGGATAACAGGGGCAGCGAGTGAGTCACTGCCTCATAAAAACAGCCACACGGCTGCGGCGGCAGATATCAAGGTCAAACACCCGGAAGCGATACCAAAGCGAAGGCAAACAATGAAGCGATAACAAGAGGTGCAAGACCTGAAACATGCTGTGCAAATTGCACTACACATCACAGGATATGGCATCACGTTCAGTCCACGTTGACGATATTGACATTATTACAGCTTATTAACCCTCGCCCGCACATGCCATTTTCCCATCCTAGAACGCACATGGGGGGGTGGTTGCCACCCCCCCCCCCCCGCGCCATTTCGTTCCTGTTGGAGATAGAGCTTAGCAGTAAAGACCAAAAAGATTTTTTGGGAAGAGACGAATCCAATGATACCCAGTTTTACCTTCTCAGGTCAGTCATTGACCTTCCAGGTCAGGTCAAACTAAAAAATGTTGCTGTTTTGGGTCACCGTTGGATATCAAGTGCGCTGCTTATCAAATACCGATGACGATGGTGTTTTCTGGTGCCAAGCCAGCTAGAACCTCTTTGTAACACTATCCGACCAGAATTTTGCTGCTGAGGTCATTTCGGGTCAAGTTAGGTCAAGGTCAATTATATGGGTTTGTATGTCTGTGTGTGTCTGTGTGTATACTGATGTGTGCACCGATTGTTTTTGGGTCCATATCACTTGAAATCATGATCTGAGAAGCTTTTACCAAAAATGCAGTCAAAAAACTTCACAAAAAGTAAATTCAGCTTGCCTAAAACGCAATTATCTTAGATGACCTAGGTTGACCTTGACCCTGACCTTGACCCCTGTACATCGTCGAACAACATGTTCCATGATAGGTGGGAGGTAAGACTGGCAAAAAAGGCCGAAATCAGGGTGTCAAAAGCTCACAAGGCCCATGGCAAACGCAAGATGTTGAGAATTGGCCATTTGGGTCATGACATGACCTGAAAAACAAGGTCATATCTCCGAAACCAAAAATCACAGAAACTTGAAATTTTCAGTGGACATCAAGAAAGGATAGACGAGCAGCTATACGAAAAATCAGCCTTCTAGCTCTAAAAATGTTCAGTGCAGAGCAGAAAGACTGCCTGGGGGGGGGGGGGGTGGCAACCACCCCCCCCCCCCCATGTGCGGGCGAGGGTTAAACACATTACACAGCAGCTCACCATGATCATTAATTCTCCAATCGTTCGTCATGTCCCTTACTCAGCGTCATCTTACCATGACGAAGCTGCGACTAAGGTCTGGCAGCAGATCCTGCACATGGGACACCATCGACTCCAGCTCGACACCGTCGACCATCGGCCCGGCCTCTGCGCCCCCGTCCTCCGCCCCCGCCCCCGCCCCGGCCCCGGCCGGGTCCGCCGCGGCGGGGGCGGGCTCGGGCGGGGTGGCGGCCGCCGGCGGTACGGCGCTGAGCACGGCGTCCAGGACGTAGTCGAGTCGCGCAGGGTCACTGAGCGGCAGTCAAGGAGACCGTGCGACTGGGGTGGTCGGGTATGTAATTGTACATACACAAACGCAGCTCACTAGAATGGCAGGGGGGACACGGCAAACTGATGCCAAGCAACCAAGATAAAAGAACACAAATAGGGTGCATCATTGACTCAATCTGACATACCCAGCGATGACGAGTACCTATGGATGCATTTGCGATTGCAAGTAATACTTGTAAGGATTGTATAAGAAAATCAAAGCACTTCAAATGTAAAAATCGTTGACCTCTGGCGTCCGCTGAGCGCCTGCCATCGATGACCACATCGGAAGGAACCAGATGAGGCTTCCCACCACTTCCATACATCTATTTCCTTCACTGCCGACGACGGAAGCAAGGTCTTTCCTCGCTTCCCGACAAAATTCCTTCTGCCTTCTGATGATAAGTTCAACTTGCCCGGCCCTCCCCCAGAAATTCCCAACCCCTCCCCTACCCAACCAGCGCCCGTGTTCAGTGTAACGCAGCTTCACGGCCGCACGCGGCAGCAGCCCCGCTGACGCATCGTCGGAATTTCCCTATGACGTCATCGCTCGTCAGCTGGCCGGCCGGCCGGCGACGCGCGTCAGTCGCTGCGATAACGCTGAGAAGCGAGGTGCTACACAGTGGAGAGACAGATCCGGAATTTCAGTGGTGGCGGGACCCGCAGAAGAACTGTGCATTACGCGGCCTTTGTCGGTGGAAAGGCTGCAGGTTGTTGTCAGTCAGGATGCTGTGATAAGCATTCGGTGTTAAAACCGTGAACGGGGCTGATGAGCGGTGCTCGAGGCAGCTGACCGCGTCCGTTTGGCGCGTGATAATCGGCGCACGGACCGCTTGGTGCAGTCCCCCCCCCCCCGTCCACTCTCCCCAACGGGCCAATCGCTACACACGCCTCCTGATCTCCAACACCAGCCATGTCTCGCGGTCTGGACAGCCGTCCCTCTTACAGCCAGTACCACCCGTCCCTGTACGACAAACCAGTGCCTCTGGCAGCCGTCAGCCTCCGTCGCTGCCTGCGGGACCGGCGGCGGGATCCCATCTCCGGCGTGCCGGTCGGACCCGCGTCGGCAGCTCTACGGTACCTGGTACCTGTCTACGACCTGGAGCAGAACACACCGCCGAGCACACACGAGCTCCAGAGGATATTCGACAGTGTGGAGGGGCTGCGGGGCAGCAGTTTCGCCTGCCACGTCACCGGCTCGTCCATAGAGCGTCTCTCCGTGCCTCCCTACACGGAGCGCGCTGGCGACGCGCTGCCGCACTACCGCACCGCCGATGTGGATGTGATGCTAGAGATGAAGCCGCTGCGCGTGGCGGCACGGCGCGGAGACGGGTCACTCTATATGGACACGACGCGAGCCAGTCACCGTGGCTACACGAGAGTTGTACTGGACGTGCCGGGACTGACAATGGAGAGACTGGGCGGATTGCCAGCAGAGCTCTTCGTCAAAACTGCAGAGGGAGAGAAAGAGGAAGAGGGGTACACAGAAAATACAGATGAAAGTGAGCGTGAAGAGAAAGTGAGTGAAAAGGTTACGGAAGATTTCGAGCAGGCTAAAAAAGAACTCCTGGAGTCTGAAGAAGAAGAAAAGACAATGGGAGGAAGTGTCGAAGAGGGAGAAGGAAAAGGAATGAATAAAGATGCTAGGGAGGTGGTGGCAGACGGAAAAACTGAGGAAGCAGAAAAGGGAACTGAAGCGGCGGCATGTGTAGGTAAGCGCGGTCCTACAATGTACCTCTCGATAGACGGCGTCAACACCCACCTAGCTAGCCAGCTCCAGGAGGAGCTGCCGGGGGCGATCGTGCACCGTCAGGGCCCTGCCATCAACATCCAGGAGCTGATGAAGATGCAGGCAGACAGTCCGGGCGGCGCGCTGAGCCATATTGACGACTGCGACCTGGTGCCGGCGCTGCCGCTGGCTGAGAGGCCGACAGAGCTGGCAGACTGGCTGGAGCGTGTGCGCGGCCGCCAGTGGCCGCCCGAGCAGCTGCGGCAGGAGATGGAGAGCAGCGCGCGGTGTTTCCTGGTGGGCGCCGGCCACGCCAGCAGTTCCCGGCGCGATCTCGAGTGGCGCCTGTCCTTCTCTGAGCCCGAGCGGCGGCTGGCGCTCAGTCTGACCCCGCAGCAGCGCAAGGTATACGTGCTTATCAAAATGATGCAGAAGTGTTACCTGCAAGAGCCCAAGGTGTTGGTCACGTACCACATCAAGACGCTCATGTTCTGGGAGCTAGAGAAGTGTGCCGACACAAACTGGATCGAAGAGGAGCTCTTTGAGCGCGTGCTGGCCATGCTCGATCGCATTGCGACGTGTCTGGAGCGACACTACATTCCCAGCTACTTCATGCCGGACAACAACCTCATCAGCCACGCGGACGCCGGTGACGTGGCCGCCGTACTCGCCACAGTGCAGCAGATTCGTCGCCGGCCACTGCAGCATCTCTACGGCATCGACGACCGGTTCCGGTTCGATTTTTCACCGCCGCGGCCGCTCTCTGAGCTGCACGCGCCGCTGCGAGAGCTGCTGATGGCCGAGGCCGCCGGGGAAGGAGCAGAGGAGCACGCGGAACAGGGCGCCGGGGAAGATACAGAAGAGGGCGCCGCGAAGGATAACGGGAGGAGCTCCGGAGTAGCTACAGCGAAGCGTGCCGAAGAAGGCTCGGAGGCGGCAGAGGCGCTTGTGCTCAGCCTCATCTCTCAGGCCCAGTCGGAGACACATCGCGGCGTGGTGCCGATCAAACACTACGCCCACCTGCTGCGGGACGCCTGGGAGGCGCTGGCCGCGGCCGGGCCCGAGGGCGCGCCACACCCGGTGCACGACGACTGGGTGGTGTTCGCAGCGGCCGCCGCGTTCACCAGCATGGAGGCTGATGAGAGCGCTCACCTCATCATGGGCACCCGGATGGCGGTGGGGGACGAGAACAGGCCGCCCGTCAGCCGAACGCTGACCGAGGGCGAAACTGTGGTCGCTTCTGAGATCCTGCCCACAATGTTCTCGGGTACGGGAGGCATGGTGGGCCAGCTACTGGGGCAAGTGAACGCCACCGGCCAGCTGCAGGAACCAGCGCCGGCCGAGCATATCCTGGCCCTGCGGAACGCGCAGGTAGAGCTGCTGCGCGACATCAAGAACCGCGCGCAGGAGGGGCTGGAGGGCTCGCCGCCGATGGCCGCCGCCATCACCAGCACCCGCCTGCAGCTGGCGCTGGTCGAGATGCTGCTGCGCCACCAGCTCGCCGCCGGCGCGTCACTTATGGAGGCGCAGCTCGGCGTCTTCTCGCAGACGATGCCGCTGACGCAGCGCGTGATGTCGGGTGGAGGCGGGGCGCCCGACCTCCGCGGGATGATCAACCAGGTGATGGTCGGTCTGGGGGTGCCTGCCGAGTTCACCCCTGTGCTGCAGGCGTCCGTAGCTCCCGACACGGACCAACTATGTCAGCAGCTGGCGCCATCCACCACCGACCCCAGCAGCCTGGCCTTCGAGAAAGATCCGCGAATCACCTCCATCATCCCGCTGGACATGATCAACGTCTTCCACTACTGCACTGTCGGTCCGGGTCTCAGAGACGAGGAAATCGACGTGCGCTACACCGCATTCTTCAACATGATGGGTTTCTTCCTGAAGCACCGGCGGTACCTGTTCGCGTTCCGCACCGTCGGCCGGATGACCTGTCTGCGACTGGCCGCGCTGGAGGCCGAGATGAAGCGGTCCGTGTACCCACTGAACCGAGCCGAGCTCTACATACAGCAGCTGCCCGGCCCTGTGCGCGCCCTGCTCCAACTCAGCTCCGGACGAGCCGCCATCGGCGTCGTCTACTCCTTCATCGACTTCATGAACCTGACGTTCGACTGGGCGCTGATGACAGAGCTGACGATGCAGCCGGAGAGAGAGCTGGACGCGATGCAGAAGACCATCACCGACGCCGCGCCGTTCGCTGCAGACGAAGTACAGCTCACCCACCAGCTACTACTCCTCCCCGTGCTGCGACTGCTCGGCCGGGACACGGCAGAATGTCTGTCAGCAATCAGCTCACTCGGCGGGGACGGAGTTGCCGCGGCCGCCGCGGAGGCACTACTCGACTGGAGGCCCGCTGCCGCACCGCCCGCGGCGCCGGCAGACGACGGCGTCACTGCGAGTTCAGACACACCCGGTGTCGGTGCGGGGAAGGAGTTCACCGGGGCGGGCGGTACACCGGCGGAGGGGGAGAACACCGCCGTGACGGATCGACCCGTGGCGGCCACGGACACGTCAGAGACGTCAGTGACGGCGATAAACACATCAGAGGCGGCGGTCAGTGGGTCAGTGGCCGAAACAGACCAAAACAGGGCGACAGCACTGGAAGAACCGGCGAGTCACATGTCGTTGGATGACTTGCCATCGGCTGACGGACCAGCACCTGGTATAATGGATGTCCCATCAAAAACCGGCATACCACAGATTACCACACCATCGCCTTCGGAACAAATGTCCCCGCTCACGGATTCAGAAAATACGTCACTAGTCGAGAGAACTTCAACAGAGCGAGAATTGCCGACCACCAAAGGATGGAAGTGTTGTATCTTGTAAGCGATGACCGAGAGTTTCATGTGCTAGGAGTTATCACCAATTCAAGGGGTCAGTTTCTTGCCAGTTGTTTACGACCAAAACGTGAGCAGCACTGCACCAATGAATGACAATTTAGCCCATGTTGAAGGAATGTCATTATAAGGATGTGTGATCAACCTTATGCGTATCAGTGGTTACTTTGTTACATGCGTTATTACATGCTTTTACTGAAATACAAATAGCAATCATTCGCGAACGTTTTAATAGAATGCATCTGCATAAAATGTTGAACTTCAGGGACCACTAAACCACTGCATTAATTTGTATGACAGGAGAGAAAAGTGACGTAGGTACCAAAGATCATACAAATGTGTCAAAGCTCAGATACAAATGTGCCAAAGCTCAGCACGCGAAGTAAGGTTTAGCTCCTTTCCTTTCTAAACCATTCACCCCGCATCCCACCAGCTCAGCAGACCTGCACTGCCTGGCCCATCCCAGTCAGTACCGACATCCCCTGTCCCTTCCGCGGCCCGTCTCACCGAGTAGTGAAGCAATATTAGTCTCACCCAGCTCGGTCTAATATCTGCCATTCAATCCTCCACCCATCTCATCACTCCATCTTTTATCAGTCGCGCCCTGCCTATTCTATTCAGTCCGTCTCACCAATCATCCCCCCGTCGCGTCGTCCGCCCTTCTGCGTTCTGAGAAGACGTAACTAGATCCATGCTACCCCCTCCCACCCTGACCGCCAGTCGCCTCTCTGCGCTTTGCGAGGATAAAGATTGTCCTACCCTTGCATACCCTGGCTACTGTCACACAACAAATCCACCTCCTCGCCCTGGCTATCGCCTCTCTGCGCTCTAAAAGATTACAGGTCCATCCAAATCTCCCCTAACCGTAGCCCGTATAAAGAGCTGTATAAGGCCCACCCCACCATCTCCCGCCGCCTCTCCGCTCTGTGAAAGGATACAGGTCCGGGCAGCCCTGTCGCACGGTCAGTACATCCTCGTTGACCGGGTGCTGTAGGTGGTAGTCGGCCATAAAGTGCTGTTCGGCCAGACACTCCGTCATTACCTCCAGGTATCGCTCACCGCAGTCGAGCAGACGCTCCCTGGAACAACACGGCACGTCACCAAACAACGACATGGGCTAACGCAGAGCGTGAGCTGTACCTATCGGCTAAATAGGTACACATTTCACTCACTGGTATCAAACGGTGAGAGTCAAACAAACTTTATTGGCATGGTTGCCGGTAATCTCTTTGATCGACAGCATTTGTGATGAAACAGGCGGTCAAGCCACTTCGCATCGAAAGTTTCACCATTCACAAGGAGTAATTTCATACAGGATGCTGTCATACATTATTCCCTTGATATGTGATGCTCACCCCGTAAAGTCCGTGTGTGTGATGCATGCCTCATGTATAGCATAAACTAACCATGCCAGTATTACAGCGTTCTTTTAATAGCGACCGGCCCCAGTCAGCTCATAGCGCCGCTCTGACGTACACACCTGTTCCGACCGACCGCCTCTGTAGCCGTCTGCTCTTCACGGAGCGGCTCCAAACAGCAGTACTCCAGCGCCCGGCGCACCACAGAGATGAGCGCAGCGCGACACAGCAGCAGGTGGCGCCGCACCTCGGCCGGCGGCGGAACCTCAGCCTGCGTCTCCGCCTCCAGTCGCCGCCACAGTCGCGGTATCACCGTGTCGTAGAATGAGGCTATTCTGGTGGGAAACGGGAAGACGAATTAGAACCAGAGACTGAGACAGAGAGTTGGTCAGAGTATGAGCAGCTGCAGCTAGACAGTATGGTATTTAACCTAGTATACCATAGCTAGTATGAGCTAGTACAAAAGAGCAGCAGGTGGCGCCGCAGGTGCTTCAAAACAGCTAGTGACAACAACACAGCTAGCGCCAAAATAGCTAGTAATGCAAAATAGCTAGTGCATTAAATCAGCTAGTGACTAAACAGCTAGCGTCAATATAGCTAGTAGAGCAAAATAGCTAGTGCTTCATTATAGCTAGGCTATAGAAATCGCTAGCGTCGACTAATAGCTAATAAGCAAAATAGCTTATTCGTAGAGCAGCTATTATAGATTCTTTCCCGACGAAGAGTCCCCACGGGTAGAAGGAGCAGAAGAGCACCGTAGTTTGACAAAATTATTTGGAATGCTAGGAGGGCAGAGGACGGGATCCCTAGGACAAACAACAAATTAGAAGCGGGGCACCGGGGAATTAAAGAGATGGCATATCGCGGGAAATACATATTTACAGTCATAGATATCTTGCATTTTTGAAGCGAAGTGAATGGGAAGGGAACAGAGGTCCAACGAAATTGCTATTTTGACGATAGCTATTTCGTCACTAGCTGTCTTGAGGCACTAGCTCTTTATGCTTCACTAGCTACTTTGACGCTAGCTGTTTTGTCACTAGCTGTTTCTAAGCACTAGCTATTTTGCTTCACTAGCTATTTTGACGCTAGCTGTTTTGTCACTAGCTGTTTTGAGGCACTAGCTGTTTTGTACTAGTTCAAAAGTCACTAGCTCAAATGTCACTAGCTATTCTGACGTGCACCCTTTTACCAAGTGCCTACCTAACCAAAAATGATCGACGGGATCCGAAAACTGACAAAACCCGAAAATCACGGTGACACTCTAAACACATCAATAATATTCGAGCATGATTGTAGCATCAGAAAACTATAGAGATGTGAACTATAAGCACCTTGCACGGTGCTCCGTAAACTCTCACTCGTCCCCCCCCCACACACACACACATACACAAACACCAAATCTCACCTGACCAGTACGCCAGTCTCTCTGAAGGGCACACTGCCGGCCGGGTAGACGCGCAGGAAGGCGTCCAGAGAGGTGGCCAGATCGGTGACGTACTGCACCACGTCCCAGAGCTCGGTCCAGCTGAGGGACTTGCCCAGCTCTGTGCCGGCCACGCGCTCCTCGACCCGGCCCAGCAGCTGTCGGACAGCAGCAGGCGGGGGTCAGCACTGGACAGATGGCCGCCTGGGAGGCCAGGATATGGGGGGGACTATATACCGAATACCATGCTTGCATAGTTAAGTTTGGCAGTGGTGACTATCCTGTTTGAAAACTGGTAGTTTTTGTAGGCAAGCTGAAGCGGTTGAAAGCTGACCACGCATTTTGAAAACAGTTTTAACTTTTAATGCTCTGGGACAGAAATTGATGTCGGCTCTACTCATAAACCACTTGCAGCCGTCACTTCCAACTAAAAACCACTAAAAAATATCACATGACATACCTAAGCATCTACATGAAACAACAGGATCAACAGATCCTACCACCACACGCCCTCAACTACCCTTCCATCCCCCAGCGGCCACCTCCCTCCCCCCCCCCGTCCGTCTCGCACCTGCGGCAGTTCCAGCACAGTCAGCTGCAGATCCTGCACATAGGCCGGCTGGTGGGTGAACAGCGACTCCAGCTGCCGGCTCAGCAGCTGGCAGTTGGAGACCGAGTAGACGGCGCACAGGTCCATCAGCCGCGCCATGTCCCACAGGTAGTTGTCGTACACCAGCTGGGCGAATAGTGCCGGGCTCAGCTGGTTCTCCTGAGGGGGGGGGGGGGCGGTCACAGCCTCATAGGGGTGGAAGGTGGATGCAACAGACAGACAGACAGACAGACAGACAGACAGACAGACAGACAGACAGACAGACAGACAGACAGACAGACAGACAGACACACAGACACACAGACAGGCAGAAACAGAGGCAGAGGTAGAGACAGAGGCAGAGAAGAGACAGAGGCAGAGAAAGAGACAGAGTTAATGCTTAGGTTGGCTGGTGTTCGGGTTAGGTACCTTGCTCTCCTTGTATGTGGCCATTCGGAGGGCCAGTTTGAGCACCAGCAGCGCCACCTGCTGCACGGCCTGCCGGACGGCCGGGGAGGCCGGCAGCAGTGCCAGCTCGTGCGGCCGCGGCAGCGTCTCCAGCGTGGTGCTCAGACACTCGGCCAGCGCCAGGTCGTACACCACCTGAGACCAGAACCTGAAGCATAGGTACGCATATCAATTGTAGTGCATGACCCAGAACATGCAACACGATACTGAGCGGTACGGTAGTCGAACGAACGAACTGAAATGTACCCGCATTAACAAAACAGAACCTGCGCAACCCTCCTCTACCCCTATCTCTATAAGGCGACAGGAAATGACGCTCTCTTCCCCAGGGCAGCAGCCCTCCCCGGCGCCCTCCCGCCCACCTGTTGAAGGGCTGCGGGCCATCCCCTACACCCCCACCCCCTTCCGCCCACCTGTTGTAGGGCTGCGGGCCATCCCCTACATCCCCCTTCCGCCCACCTGTGGAAGGGCCGGCGCAGCAGCCCTCCCCGGCGCCCTCCCGCCCACCTGTAATTGTAGGGCTGCGAACCACCCCCTACACCCCACCCCCTCCACCCACCTGTGGTAGGGCCGGCGCAGCAGCCAGTGCAGGTCCTCAATGAGCAGCTCGACACCGGCCAGCCAGCCGGCCTGTTCGACCGGTTCATCGGGCGGCCAGCTGAACGGCACGTACTCCCTCGGCTCGGCCCAGCCGGCGTGCTGACGACACATAATGGGAGCGGTGTCACTGAGGGAGGGAGAGAGAGTCGCACAGTGGTTTACCTACAGGATATGATACGGAGACGAGACGCAGTTTCAGTCGTAAAATGAGATACTAGGTGCTGGGACGAGAGTAGAGTGGTTCAATCACAAGGTGGGATATTGATAAAATGCGACAGACTCGGATACAAAGTCGTACACTGGTTCAATCGCAGCATGAAAAATTAGGGTGGGTCGCTGAGTCGTGATTGTACAATATATAAACGAGTCGTCACAGATGTATACGACACAGCTGGACTCTCGGAAAACAGACGGGAATTACGGAGGACTTTGCGCGGGGGTGGCAGACCTCGCCAGGACGGCGGCATGTGAGACAGCGTGAATCATTAAGTGCAGTACACGCCCAAGTACAAATTACACCGGCGGAGTCAGTGTATATGATGACCAGGGGGAGCAGCATCGCAACGGAGTGGTCAGGAGCCAGTGTAAATGTTTACTGCCGCGCGGAAAGTCCACGGAAATAATCGTGACGCCGATGGTGAGGCCTTGGACCAGGGCTTAGTCTCGCCGAGCCTTGCAGTCGTTCTGCCAGCTCCGAGCCCTCAGTTGGCCGCCGGCAGCAGGAGCTGAGGGTCGCTGCTACTGTGTTCGTGTCACCATGTCGGCCCGTAGCTGGAAAGGAGGGACGTTCTTATATCTGACGGTACTTCTAGTGACGGCCGGCTGTGACGAGAGCCGGTCGATCCCACTGACAGAGTTCGTACAGCAGCTGGTACGTGACGAGCTGCAGTCCATCGTCAGCACGCTGCAGGCAGGAGCTGAACCTCTGGAGAACAGGCTGGAGTCTCGCGTGGCGGCATCAGAACGCAGACTGGAGTCACGAGTAACAACTTTAGAGCGCAGAATGGAGACTCAAGCGACGACTTTAGAGGGCATAATGGAGCATCAAGTGACGGCTTTGGAAGGCAGAGTGAAGTCTGATGTGATGAACTTAGAGCGCAGGATGGAGTTACAGTTAGAATCTATCGAAAACAGACTGGCCCTGGTCGATTCTTGGATAGACAAACTGACTACTAGACTGATCGGACAGCACGCCCGTCTGGACGCCGCCGCAGCCCAGCTGTACCGCCAAAAATCCCAACAGGACGAGGCGACAGCCAGAGTGACAAACCTTACCGAACAACTGAATCATATCGACGACAACATGAAAAATCATACGACTCAAGTGTCTGTCATAGTTACAAGGCTAGAAAGTCAGCAAACACAAATCAACGATCTAACCATCCAGCTAAACGGTCAAAAATCCAACCAAAACAAGATTGAAATCACAGTGGACCGTCATACAGAATGCCTGAATGATACCGTTGCCAAACTGGAAAACCATGCGGTACAAATGTTCGGACTGAATAAAAGGCTCGACAATCAGCAAGCTCAACTTATCTATGACAATATCCCGCTAAACGATCAGAAATCCAAACGAGACAAGAGTATAATCACAGCTAACAACTATACAGAACAACTAAATGATTTCGCTGCTGGCGTGGAAAATCACGCAACACAAATGTCTGGAATCACTACAAGGCTTGACAACCAACAATCACATCTTAACGATCTCACTACCCAGTTAAACGGCCAAAAATCAATCCAGCGTTTGGTTGCAGTTACAGTGCATAATCACACGTCACAATTTGATACCCTGAGTTCGCAGATTCGCACTCTGGGATCTCAGCTGGACGGAGCCATAGACAAAATAACAGCACAGCAGAAAAACATCGACCTCCTATTGCTGATGAGTGTTTCGAAAGTCCTTTGAATTAAATACTCATATATTTTAACCCGGCGGCCGCTGGGCCTCCGCGCCACCCGCCGGCCGCTGGGGGGGGGGGGGCATATAGTTGCCCCCTCTTTACTTCTGCGACGATATCGTCGCAGTCGCGAAACTTTGCACACATTTTCCTGAATACCTAGTTGAAGTTGTGTCCAAATTTGGTGTTGATCCCATTTGAAATGACGTCATAGTGACGCCAGAAGTCAAATTATAGATTTGCGACTCTCAGTTTCCTTACGATATATCCGATATACAGGGTGGGATGGACAAATTGAGACAAGTTTCTACGCGGTTGTACGCCTCGGCTATAACCGCAATCTGATTGGTCGCATCGCTGGCACGGCCCTCAGATGCTATAAAAGCGAGGGTGACCCAAGGTCAGGTCAAATCATGTCTGGTCGCGGAGCCGAGTACGATCGCCGAGCCGCCGTGCTCCAGGCGCTGCGCGCAGGGAGGAGCCCGGCAAAGATCAGCGAGTTCCTGCGTGTCCCACGGAGCACGGTGTACCGCATTGCCAAGCGTGTGCGGGCACAGGAGGGCGGTGGAGATGGCGAGGATGAAGGAGAGGTGACTCCCGAGCGTAAAAAGCGTAAATCAGGGCCTGGGAAGAAGAGAACGCCGGCGTTTCTGCAGCAACTCCAGGCTCTGATCGAGGAGGAAGTCACGAGAGGAAGTCTCTCAGGATCAAGGAAGTCTCGTGACTTCCTTGATCCTGCCCTGGATCAAGGAAGTCACGAGAGGAGCTGGATATGTCTTCCAGCAAGACTCAGCACCCGCACACGCAGCAAAGAAGACGCAGGAGTGGTGCCGGCAGAACATGCACCTGACGTGGACCAAGGAGTTCTGGCCCCCCAACTCTCCGGACCTCAACCCCCTGGACTACTTTGTCTGGGGCGAAGTTGAGAGGGTCTCCAACAAGAACCCCCACCCCTCCAGGGAGGCTCTGAAGCGGACCATCGAGGAGACGATGGCGGCCATGGACCGAGCTGTCGTGAAGCGCGCGTGCGGCAGGTTCAGGAGCCGGCTGGAGAGGATGGTGGCGGCAGAGGGAGGGTTTATCGAGTGAGAATGCTCTACAACGATGCCAGTGTCACGAAATAAATATATTTCTGACTGATTGTTTTTGGTTAACCGGCAAACTGCATTTTAATTGATAAACACAATGTGTCTCAATTTGTCCATCCCACCCTGTATGAGACCGAATATAAAGGGCCGATTATTAGTCAGGAATTTGTTGGAAGTGTACTTAGATGTTTTAGGATGACAGCAGGTGCTGTCTAGTTCATTTACAGTTGAGTTTCATGCTCAGCAACATCAGAAACGGTCCATATCGGAACACGACAAAACTTTATGACGTCACTGTGACGTCATCTTAAGTGCTACAACCACCAAACTTTCGTCAAACATTTCCTAGGTATTCATTTGAAGCTGTGCCAAGTTTCACGTTCATAGCTCATCAGGTTTCGGAGATATTCCACAAAACGTAAAGAGGGGGCAATTTTATCCCCCCCCCCGCGGCTCGTGGGTTAAACCAGGGCTGCGGAGTCGGAGTCCGGACTCCGACCTAACTGATCTTAACATAGGGAAAAATATATTCCGGCGACACGTCAGCAAGTACATGTACTCGTATGCAGATAACAAACTGATTTGTGTTAACATTGTATTCTCATCCGGTAATTCGTTTTTATGTAATATGCATTTGCTCTGTTGATATATCGGCGGTGTGTGTTGTATCATGTTCGCTTACTTTGGATAAAGCCACGGCTCGTACTTTGAAACGTTTCTGTTTCACGCGTGAATGAGCGAAAAGCTTTTATATTGGTTGGCATGTAGGTAGGACAGAGTAGCTATACGGATTTCCCACGATGAGGATGAGAAATGGGCGATTATAATCAGAACTGCAAAAGCGGAATCTGAGCCACAGTCGGTGCGTGTCGAACTGTCGACAACTTTGGCTAGAGTCGGAGTCGATATTGCTGACATGGTCATGTGTTCTGTTTGTGAGAGAAAATGTATGCTTCTTTTCCACCGGTGTGGTGTGCAATGTGCATGACTCCGATATTGCTTAGTCAGAGAAGAGTAGTCCAGCGTGGATCGGATGCTACAGCTCTAACTGGAGCTCTGGCTCCCTATAGAGGACCTTGGGCAGTGACAATATGATGGTAAGTGTGGGAAGTAAGCAGATTAATGCTTACGCAAAATAAAACTCAGCAGAAATGAGTGACTTTTTCCGTGATACAGATTCTAAGCGGGGCGCCCACAGAGTCAAATTTACCTATTTTTTCATAAATCTCTGAAACAGCAGTCATAGACTCAAGGACATGGACAAAGACTCAAGGACAGACATATGGCCTTGTTCTTCAGGTCATGGAATGACCCAAATGACAAATATCCAATACCTTGCGTTGGCTATGGGTCTTGTGAGCTTTTGACACCTTGATTTTGGTCTTTTTTGCCAGTCTTACCTCCCACCTATCATGGAACATGTTCTTCGGCGATGTACAGGTCAAGGTCAAGGTCAACCTAGGTCATCTAAAAATATTGCATTTTAGGCAAGCTGAATTTACTTTTTGTGAAGTTTCTTTGACTGTATTTTTGATAACAGCTTCTCATTTCATGATTTCATGTAATATGGACACATAAACAATCGGTGCAAACATCAGCATACACACAGACACACACAGACAAAAACCTGGTCGGATAGTGTGACAAAGAGGTTCTAGCTGGCTTGGCACCACAATTCTGGCTGGCTTGGCATCACAATTCGGCATCGTCATCGGTGTATGGTGAGCAGCGTTCTTGATATCCAACGGTGACTCAAAACAGCAACATTTTTTAGTTTGACCTGACCTGGAAGGTCAATGACTGACCTGAGAAGGTAAAACTGGGTATCATTGGATTCGTCTCTTCCCAAAGAATCTTTTTGGTCTTACCGCGAAGCTCTATCTCCAACATGAACGAAATGGCGTGGGGGTTGGCACCCCCCCCCCCCCCCCAAGTGCGTTGAGTTTCTAGGATGGGAAAATGGCATGTGCGGGCGAGGGTTAAAGCATGCATGCCTTGCATATAATTGTTGTTTGTGGAGGCCTTAAAGTGGCAATATATGTAAAAGGCTACTGGTTTGGTAGGTATGGTGGTAGGGTCAACAAAGCCTGGATAACCCTTGACATGAGTCTATAAAACGAAGACTACACGTTAGGGTGGCACTTAGCAATAGGGTGAATTTTATGTTATCCGATTTTTAGGCGTGCGGGTAGTTTTCTGGTTCCATTCCCGTAAAAAATAATGTGTGCAAAATAATTTTGAAAAATATTGATATTTAGGAGTCGCGAATTGAGGTCAAAGTTGGCAGTTTTGGGGAAAAAAATCAACTTTTTGGAAACTACTTTAAACCTATTTGGAATGACATATGTGGTCATTAAGCGTCATATCCGACGTAGTTTGACCTTTATTTGTATAACAATTGCTTATCCCATCACTTCCGGTCGATCGTAGCCAGTCCAGGTCACGCCAAGACAGGTCTGATCTGGGCTGTTTTACCCATGTCAGGCCTGTTTTTGGCCTGCGACCGGTGCCTTCTCTCTCACAGTGGAGGTCATATCCTCTTATGAGTGTGAGGAGTGAACGGTCTCTCCTGTTCCAAAGGGAGGACGAGCCCCACAGTTCTATCGGTTCTTGAGACATGCTCCTTTTCTGTCAAAGAGAATGTGAAGAAGTTGGAGCCAGCCTATCGCCGGCGGGGGAAAGCAGAGGCGAGAGTGGGCATTGAGCTGCGCTGGTTTATTGTGCTTTCGGGATGTTCTTCCGTGGGCGCTTCTTCCGACTCTACATAGTGCCAATGCCAGCAACAGACTTACCCGGCCGTTGCGGCGCGCACACGGAGGGAACGTCTTTGACGATGGCGACCATGAGAGAGAAACGTCGACTCACACTCCCAAGCGCATGCGGGCGAGCGGACGTCCCCAACAGTGAACTGGCCTCGACCGGGCCAAACTGCCCAACCGTAATGTGTGAAGAACACGTGAGCCTGTTATCAACTGCGGCACGGAACTTCTGATACGACTCCGGCTGAACCGCGAATCCTGAACCGCGAGAGAAGGAGCGTCGACCGATTCTAGGTCCTGGTGATGGGGGGGGGGATTAGGGTGGCCAAGCTCCTCGCCGTTCCCAAACTCCCCTCCATCCAAGCACAGGAGGCCATGCTCACAGCGCTGGGAGGCTAGGAACTGGAGAAGCGGAACTGCGGCCTTTTGCTTCGACGCCACGACGGCGAACAGCATGCTGGTGAACGGTACTTTAGCCCTTATCATTTAGGGCCTTGCCCTTATCGAGCAGAAGCTGGATCGGCCCGTCCTCCAGCTGGCCTGCCGGCACCACGTGTAAGAGCTGGTCCTAGAGAAGGCATTCTCCACCTGCCGTAGAATCTCGAGCGGCCTCTACATCCGGCTGTTTAAAGAGGTTCAAAGGCGGATGGGAGTTCATGCTTCATTGACAGGATCACACCGGTGGCGTTCGCCGTCGACGACGTTCCGGAGTGGGACAAGCTGCTGGTAAGCTTCCATCGCTTCCATCGCTGGACTATGCCTAGCTCCGGGAAGACTACCGAAAACTTCTGGAGCTCTGCGTAACTGCTCTCGGTGGAGTTCCAAGCACGGCCTCCGTTTCTCCGCCTCAGAGTACTCCACTGAGTTAGGTGGATGGCAAAGACCATCCGTACCGTGGGTGCCTTCCTCTTCAGGGAGCGGCTCCGGCTGACGGCGGCCGAGGCCCAGGACATCAGACTCTGTGCGCTGTTCGTTGCCTGCAAGTTCGCCGCCGCCGCCGCCGCCTGGTCTGGGACTCTACTGCCACTGCGCCGGCTCTGGACCTGACCTTCGTGAACTCGTTCTGCACCTACCCCGACAAGGAGCTGTCGAAGGCGACAGTCCCGGTCTTCGGCCGTCACCTGTAGTAATTGAGTGATCGGCTGGTGACTCTGGAGCTTTTAGACCCCGACCCTCGGGCTCAATCAAGACATGGTGCGGGCAATAGACTTGTAGGAGAGGGGACCCGCCCCGTAAGTCCTTAGTGGACACTATGAACGCCGCTCTCGCGACCGAGACGTTGGCGAGCTTCCTCACACCATCGTTCAAAAAGCTCTCAAGGATACACGACCTGGACGCGGGGCTCATCATCAATGACCAAGGCCACTGGGAGGACAGCGGCTACCAAACCGCAGCTCGTGTAGTCCGGGAGCTGCGGGTGGTGAATGACTTCACCAGGCGCGGTATGGCGCTGATGTAGGACTGGCACTCATGGAAGACAAAGATTAGCGCCAGTTCTTCCTCCATGTCGTTGAAAAGATCACAGAAAACGCTAACCTGACACCCGAAGATCGACTGCAATTGCTAACCAGGCTACACACAAAGTGATCTGGGTGCCCGTTGCCCATGATACCCCTCCCTCCAATGAGGCGCCAATAATCTACTAAAGAGGAGGAACTGGAGTAGTGGAGTACATATACCAGCGTTCTGGCGTGGCCGAAGCTGCATGGAATATCAATAAACAATATGAAAATGACTAAGAAATGCCTTATTATCATCCGATTATAGCGTAATAGGAAACTCAGAAGCGATTTTAATGATATTGAAATATGCTACCAAAATCTCAATTTTTACCTTGATTCGCGACCTTTAAACATCAATATTTTCCCATAAAAATTTGCCTCCCTTATTTTTTACGGGAATGGAACCGGAAAACCACCCGCACGCATTAAAAATCAAAAATTGATTTTTAAGTGCCACCCTACTACACGTGCAGTGAAACTTTACATTAACATTAAATAGGTACTAGGTAGGTAGTGCATTTGCAGATACAAAACTTCTGTAAATGCATTGGATAAGTGGAGTTCATATCCCAAGTTTCTGCTTTTATTCAAAGCATGACTATTGTTTTTAGTTGAGCATACTTATTACACAAAGTTACAATCATGCATGAAAATGTTCCCTACCTACACCTTAGAATTTATGTTTCCGAACACAATGCAATCAGAAATGAAAAATGAACTTACAGTGTCACCATAAGTACAATTCTGGGATTATTTACAATAGGTACCAGCTGAAAAAGGTGAAAATATATTAATAAGACATCCAAAAAGGACAAATTATGTAAAAAAATATTGTTGATGTAGGTACTCACAATGGCATCCACTTCAGTGATTACACCTCCTTTATTTATTGTTATCTTCAATTTATCAATTGGAGTAGCACTCTCAGGAATAATGGGTCTTGTCTTAGCCTGCAAGAGCACAGTCACATGACATGAAATGAAGGGTAAAGATGGCATTCTAACAAAAACTAAAGTAACTATAGTTATAGGTAACTATAACTATAGGTATAGTTACTATAACCATTACTACTATAATTATAATTACTATAACCATAGTAACTATAACTATATTTTTAAAGTAACTAGCAAGTTCATACAAAGAAAGTCATTGCAAAATGCACATGGCACACCAAGGGAACAAAACTAAACCAATATGCTCAACATATTACTATTTGATCTAATCACTTATTTAGTTACTTACTTTTATAGACCTAAAATAAACAAGCGAATTTAACAGATTTAAATGTTTCACATTAAGCCATCCATAATTAAATGTGAGAGTAAGAGTGAAAGTGTCATATGAACACAAATGCCGTCATACCTTTGCACCACCAGACATCCTGAATCCTGAAGTTTTTTTTTGTGCGAATATCTTCACAATCCTGTAAAAAAGGTTACTCAACACTATCAGCCCCTCCACAAAAAGGGAATTCATGCAACTATGTCTGAATATGGCTTTATGTGGTCAGTGGTTTTATTTAGACTTGAGATATAAAATATTGAGTTTTAAACTTTATTTTACTTATTCTAGTCTATACCTACCTATCTTATCCCATCGGATGAAACAACTTTAAGTTTTAACAATAATTGTCAGACTGACAAAGAAATTCAATGGAGTCATTTCCCTCTTTTGCACTCTTTTAAACTGAAGAAATTCACAAAACAAAATCTTGAAAAGAAATAACACATTCTTTTAAGGTAGAAAAGTGAGATCACACATATAGGGTAAGGTGCCTATAGTTCGTTTTTTTTAAGTTTGACCTTCACTGTAAACGTCTTTTTGAACATAGCACGAGAATTGCTAGCTGAATTACTGAGAAAACTGGTTGGCGCACACTGATTTAACCAGATTTCACAGACGATCAATTTCATCAAATTTATTTACTATTTCACAGACTCGTAAATCGTATCTCCCAATACCTACAGCCTCACAGGGATAGACGACTTCTCAGGACTTATGTCTGAACTAATAAATAAATTGCACGGCGCTTAACATAACGTTAAATCGTCGATGTTCAAAACTTATTTTTGAAAATATTATTCATATCTACAATACAATGTGCGCTTACCAGTTTTCTCAGTAATTCAGCTAGCAATTCTCGTGCTGTGTTCAAAGAGACGTTTACAGTGAGGGGCAAACTTAAGAAAAACGGACTATAATTAGCGACCCTTTCCGATTTGCGACCTACCTCCCTACAGAAAAACTGGCGGGAGAAAACGGGGTAAAAACATCGTCAAAAGGTCAGCCATGCTTAAGTTATCAAATTAAATTACTTTACGGTTGTCGATGTTTTTGGTGGGACGTTTCAGGTGAGTTTAAATAAAAATGACGAGTTTCTTATCCAAAACGTGTGTGTTTGGGCCCTCTCTGATGAAAAGCGATGCACATTAGGATGATGCACCTTTTTTATTCTGAATCGACATTCCTTTTTCAATTGATTGCCGTTTTCCCATAGTGAATCGCTTAACTGTGTACAGCATGGCGGTTAAAAATGTGTCGCAACTCATATTTCCTATTTGCGCCTGACATGGTCGCAAATAGCTCAACAAGGGAAAGAAAGGGGAAAAGAGAGAAATGAAAATGTGGTGTTGCTGAAGCTTGCAATGTGTGGCAGGGGATGTCAAATGTCGTCACCGACTGCAGGGGTGCCGAATTCAGCGCGGACCTCGAATATCATACGAGATAGCTCGCAAAATTTGGGTTTTCGCCTTCTTTTCGCCTTCGGTGCATCACGTGATCAGTTTTTACTTACGTAAATGTGTTGGATAAACGTTCCTGTTCGAGTGATTGAGTGTTTTGCGTATAGGTTACCTTATTGAGATCATAATTTCATCTTTTCAGGCGTCGTATTTTTTGCCATTTTTAATATGGGGAAACCCATAGACTTATTAGCGACCCTCCCCGGTCGCTAATCGGGAAGAGTTCCCTATTAGCGTTTTTTGCATTGGTTTGCCAAAATGCTCACTACAAATAAGTTAGTGAATATTGGGGCAGAAAATGACTATATTTTAAAGGAAATAGTTCACTTTCACGAAATTATTTTTTTTTGCAACGGATTTATGATTTTTTATGTTCAAAATAATCAGCAAAGAAAATAAAACCTTTTTATAACAAAAGATTATTTTCTATATTTTGATATAGGAAGAACTTTTCAGTTTCTGTAAGGCACACGCGATCCAGTATGAAAAGAGCATGGGTCCCGAAAATTCTTCAGAAACAGAGAAATTATCGCAGCCACCGGCATTTGGGCGATCTGCTCGATCTGATAATGTTCCCCTGAATGTCCTAATTGATCAGTACGAGAATTTCTCTAGAGTTCTCGTAGATAATTTCTCTAGTTTCTGAATAATTTTCGGGACCCATGCTCTTTTCATACTGGATGGAAATATATGCAACTTGCAAGGCACACATCCTCAACACAATACACCTTTTTCGGGACGAGAAATAGAATATCTTTGCCTAGGGTGATCGTTGGGCTGTAAAAGCTCCTGATTTATGCTCGTCTCAGCCCAAGCTACGGAACTGCTATTCCAGTTCAAAACCCATGTTAAAAAGTGAACTATTTCCTTTAATAGAAAAATGAACGACCTCTCCGAAAATCAAGCCAGTAATACAGTGGCACCCACAGAGCGTGAGCAATGACGGTTCAAATTAAGGGGATCGCTAATTAGGCACCTTACCCTATACTTATAATTTTTACACCAAACATTTATAAGTTACACCCAAACACTTGTTGAGTCGGGTAAGATTATGTGGTATATAAGAAGATTTAGGTTATAAGTTAGGTTGTGTTGTAGGGTAGGTTGTAGGTTGGCAGGTTGTAGGTTGCATCGAGGCATATGCATAGGCATCAAGCCACAGCCCACACCACAATTCAAATTAAGTGAAATAAGGCTACAATTAGGGCGTTTATAACAATTCAAGCAATCAAAAATCTTGCGAATAAAGACGTGCTTTCTATATTGATATAGATTATCACTTCTTTCCTGGAGTCCAATGCACAAACCAAAGCACAAATCAAAATGTGAATATTGCACAATGCCGGGTAATAAGGTTGTATTGTTCAATGTTCAGTAAAGATTGTTGTCAGTCGACTTCTTCTGCCATCAGCAAATAAATCTACAGAAAATACGGTCGTCAAGTTAGATGTAAGTGAATCCTAATCTATAATCTAAGATTCGGAATCAGGTGAGCCCCTACGATTTAGACCAAACTTGGTCAGTGGATAGTACGTAACGTCCTGATTACGATGAACCCAAAATCTAAGCTCGGCCCGCCATATTTACGAAGTTACGGCTGTTTGAATTTCAAGGTCATTCGGGAGAGCCCCTACGATTTCCGTCAAAATTTGTGTACGAACACTCTAGATGTTCCTCATTACGAATATCACAAAATTTAAGCTCGGCCCGCCATATTTACGAAGTTACGGAGGTTTGAATTTCAAGGTCATTTGGGTGAGCCCCTGCGATTTCCGTCAAAATTGGTATACGGACATATTACATCCTCCTCATTACAAATATCATAAAAGTTAAGCTCGGCCCGCCATATTTTTCAAGCTACGGAGTCACAAAGTTACGGAATTTCAAGGTCATTCGGAGAGCCCCTCCGATTTTCGTCAAAATTTGTATGCGGACACATTACATGCTCCTTATTACGCATATCGTAAAAGCTAAGCTCGGCCCGCACTATTTCAAAAGTTAGAGATGTTTGAATTTCAGTGAGTTTCAAACGTCAGTAACTTTTGAAATAGTGCGGGCCGAGCTTAGCTTTTACGATATTCGTAATGAGGAGCATGTAATGTGTCCGCATACAAATTTTGACGAAAATCGGAGGGGCTCTCCGAATGACCTTGAAATTCCGTAACTTTGTGACTCCGTAACTTGAAAAATATGGCGGGCCGAGCTTAACTTTTATGATATTTGTAATGAGGAGGATGTAATATGTCCGTCTACCAATTTTGACGGAAATCGCAGGGGCTCACCCAAATGACCTCGAAATTCAAATATTTCGTAAATATGGCGGGCCGAGCTTAAATTTTGTGATATTCGTAATGAAGAGCATCTAGAGTGTCCGTACACAAATTTTGACGGAAATTGCAGGGGCTCTCCCGAATGACCTTGAAATTAAAACATCCGTAACTTCGTAAATATGGCGGGCCGAGCTTAGATTTTGGGTGCATCGTAATCAGGACGTTACGTACTATCCACTGACCAAATTTGGTACAAATCGTAGGGGCTCACCTGATTCCGAATCTTAGATTATAGATTAGGATTCACTTACATCTAACTTGACGACCGTACAGAAAATCCTAGATGAACCAGTAAGCATCAATCATTGTAAGGTACGAGCAGAAGTGCGCTGCTAAGAGAACACATTACAAATTGCAACCGAGCTCCGCCGTGGGGTAAGGTGGGCAGGGGTTTTCGCACTACGGCTGCGGTTGAACTACCGTCTGTGGTAGAAACTTCAGGATGATGGCGCGTTTCATACGAAATCTGGCGCAATGTTTATTTGCTTCTGAACTTGTATTGTTATTGCTGTGAACTCTTGAAGTGGGAGTGTTTCAATAACAATTTGTGGATTATTTGGGTTTCTTGATATAAAAATCGAATAATATTATGAAACATTGTGTGGAAACCGCAAATACTGATATAATCAATTGCTTAGTTTGGGAATTGATACACATTTTGTAGAGGTTTGTCTGGCAAATGGTGTAACAAACTTCAAGCCTATCATGATCTGAAGCTGTTGCAACAAATCAAAATTGCTTTGATGTTCCATAGTACCTTGTTGGAAAGACTGGAGCATGGTTCAAGATGATGTGTAAAAATTCAAGAATTGTGCAAAAGCTTATGACTGAAGAGCGAAAACAGTTCTATATGATTGCTCAATGAAACGTGGAAATGGACGACAAAAGTAGAGTTTCAACATTCCAGCATGTGAGAATAACTTCAGAACTTCATAGTTCTTGTAGAATTGTATTCTCCTTTTGTACAGTTCTAGGTTTTGTTAGGGTATTTCAATTTCAATGTGTTAGTTGAGATATAGGTACACTTTGCGGACAAAATTTAGAATCATTGCATGGTAGGTACTTGTTCGGTAAAAAGGTATGTGATTAATGCCATGAGAAAGTTTTTTATGATTAAATATATGTTCATTGTTGTACCTACAAAAATGCAAGCTTACTAGCACCTAGTTATTGAATCAAATCGAAAGTATTTGCTATGAATGTAAATATGTACCTGCAAAGTATGTCAATAAATTTGTGTGATGTTGACCAGAGAGCTGTTGCTGTATCATCTGGGCATTTATGTTGCTTCTTACATTAGGTGTTAAGCATAGTAATTACCTATGGGTGAACTTTGTGCCAATATCTTCAATTCACAGTGTATGTAGCATGTCTACAACCCTCACTGATCCTGCTATAGCTATAGGCATTTGGCTCCAGCAAGACCAAGGGCATGAACTTCACAATTGCACAACCTTTTTATGCACCACTAGTCACTTTTTTTCCTTAAGGTGCACATGGCAGTGTACACAATAATGTGCAGAGGGCCTACACAAAAACAACATGACTAGTGTGCACTATGATGCACAGCATTGTACCCTGATTATTTGAAGATTCTAATCACTCAACAGTCAGGAGGTCATTTTTGAATGTCACATTTATTATACATCACTTGTCAAACAAGAGTGCATGATGACACACATTTTGACAAGCAATCATGGTAATATTCCAATAAGTTGGACACCTC